GAAATTTCTTTTGAGAGCCACATTTTTTAAACTTAAACTATATAGGTAGGTACATTGTTATTAACTTAATTAGGGTACTCCTAAGGCTTAGGAAGAGCCTCACTCAAGGGGCCAAAGAGCCCCATGTAGCTCGCGAGCCACAGTTTGCCGACCACGGCCCTAGAGGAACTAACCCAGGGCACGTGCGATAGGGGTGGTCACAGTCAGCTCAGCCCTGCGTGTGCCGTGTGCCGTGTTTGTGGCTCCACAGCCCTTTGTTGTTAGGGGACTGTGACCCGAGTGCCCTGTTGTGTTTGGTCTCCGCCCCCAGAGCCGCTTCCCCCTTCCCTCCCGGCTGCTGCTCCTCGGGCAGGTCTGGGTCTCTGGGGCCAGGTTATACCTAAGGGGCTCCACTGGGCCTGGCAGCCTGGCTGCTAGGGCCGGCCCCGCTGGAAGGCCATCTGCAGTGTCTGCAGCTGAGGCCCTGACGGGGCTCCGTGACTGAGCGTCTAGCCAGCAGCCCCGCAGGGTTTCAGAAATTGGATCAGCCCGGGGTTGGCCCGCTGCATCATGGCCGCTGACTGGGGGGTCCCAGCGTCGCACCCCGTCCTGTCCTGATCCTTGGTGAGTGTGTGGCTTGATGGTTCCTGGGGCTGCACCGCTGTGCCAGGCAGGGCCCTCCCTGCGTGCCCCACGCTGCCCAAGGGCACATCACAAACACAGGCCTGCCCCAGGGGCCTGACAATTAGCAGTATTTATAAGCAACAAGGTCGGCCGAGTGGCGCCCAGGAGAACGGGAGCTGGAGCCCAGGCGGGGGGTGGGGGGACTGCGTGTGGGGGTGAGATGCTCCCTCCCAAGGGTGCTGCTGTCACCATCGGGGGCCTGGCCGCGGCTCCCTGGCGACGGCCGGCTGAGCTGGTGACCCTGAACCGGGGGGGGGGTTTTGCCCGGAGGGGACTGGGTACATGGCTGTCTCCATCCTGCACTTGGAGAGAAGAAACGTTGGAAATCGATGGAGCCCATTAGGCCTCACCTCCTGCCCCTTAGGCTCACCTGGGCGCATGGTCAGGCGGCTGCCCGCTGACGTGGCTGCAGACTGAAGGGAGGGTGCCCTGTGCGAACCTGAAGCGCTTGGTGGGTAAACACGTTAGCTCGGCTTGGAGTTCATTCAGAGACGTGCTGTGAATACTCGTTTCCCAGGCAGCTTTTCTTGAGTGTGCCAGGCCCCGGCACAGCGGGGAGCAGGAGAGCTCAGACCCTGCCCTCGTGGAGCCAAATCCCTGCCCCCGAGGGGCTCACAGCCCAGCGGGCCGACAGGTGACAGACATAAAGCAAAAGAGACCTGTCAGGTGGCGATGAGAGGGGGAGGAGAAGGAAGGTGAGACCGCGGTGGAAAGGGGCTGGAAGGACTGTGGTGTGGTCAGGGCGGCTGTTTTGGATAAGGTTGCCTTTATGCAAAGATGCGAGGGGCGTGCAGGGGAGAGCTTGGTGGGTCCTGGAGAAGGGCGTCTGTGCAGGGCACAGGCCTGTGCCAGGCATGTGGGAGGCTCGGGCACGCTTGGCAGTGTGGCTGGAGCACAGTGGTCAAGGAGGGTGAGGCCTGGCTGGTGTCTCCCAGTGGTAAAAGCGCCAGTCCGCACACTGAGGGGTTGCAGGCGCGATTCCTGGTCAAGGGCATGTACCTGGGTTATGGGTTCGCTCCCTGTCCTTGGTTGGGGCACATGCAGGAGGCAACCGATGGATGTGTCTCTCTCACATCGATGTCCCCCCCCCCCCACCTCCCTCCTTTACACTCGCTCTGAAAGCAATGGAAAAGATATCCTGGGGTGAGGATTAACCAAACAGAGGAGGGTGAGGGGTGAGGCTGGAGCGGTTTTACTCGGCTCTGAGGGGCCGCCAGGGTGCAGACAAGGGAGGGCAGCGAGGCCAGTGGGAGGCGGCTTAGGGAAGCCGGTGGCTTGGACCAGGAGGGAGGGCCGGGGCTCGGGCTTGGCTTGGGGATGAGGTGGAGTCCATAGGACTTCTCCAGAGGGGAGGGCGAAGAGCATCGAGGCACCTAGGGGTTTGGCCTGGCAGGCTCTGGGGGTGCGTCACTGTCCAATGGGCCCGTGAGCTGCTGGGGAGACAGCTGAGCTGTCAGGAGTTCCTGTACCTGCCCCACATGTATTAAAAACAAAACAAAAATTGGGGCGCAAGGTGGAAGTGGCAGCGGGAAGACAGGTGCCAAGTGCAAGGATGTTGGGGTGCCGTGCAGTGGTCGGCTGCTTCCAGCAATGCCTCTTCATAAACTGCTGATGACAAGGGGTCCCCCTCTTCTCCTCCCCCTGCTGGTGTGGGAGTTGCTCCTTAATCACACTGTCGGGCACGGGTCCAGCCCCGCTTTTCGTACATTTGGGAGCATAAGGTTGCAGACAAGTGGGAGGTGCCTTAGCATGTGGGTGCGCCCCGACACCACCCCTGGTTGAGGATGCGGGGGCGGGGGGTCTGGGAGAAGCCAGGTCTGGACACACCAGTGGGAGCCGGGGCTCGGCTCTGGAGTTAGTCATGGTTCTTTCTTCATGGTCATCAGAAGCAGCCATCTATACTAATAAAAGGGCAATATGCTAATTAGACTGGATAGACCGGATGTCCTTCTGGACAAAGCTGCCACAGCTGAGAGGGCTGAGGGTAAGGCAGCTGCAGTGGCCGGCAGTGGCAGCAGCAGCGGGGTGATGGGGGCGGTGCCTTCCTCTGATTGGCGCGGTTGCCTCCCGCAGAGGGAGCGGGCCTAAGCCGTCAGTAGGACATGCCCTGAGGGCTCCCGGACTCTGAGAGCTGTGAGAGGGGGAAGGCTGGGCTGAGGGACCCCCCCCCAGTGCACGAATTTTTGTGCACTGAGCCTCTAGTTGATTATAAAATCAAATAAAAATCCTTCCCAGGGATTGTTTGGGGGAAAAGCCCATGTTCCTAAAACAAGATTTTCTGGAGATGTGTCTGATGTCTGCAGTCCCCAGGCCCCATCCAGCCAGTGTCTGACCCACAGAAGGTGCTCCGTCAGGTGCTTGCTGAATGAATGAATGAATGAATGAATGAGTGAGTGAGTGCGTATGTGAATGAATGAATGGAGTGGGAGGAGTGCTGGGTGGGGTAACTGGGAGGTCGCTACACAGTGACTGGCGTTAAAATCGCCTCTGACCCTGAGTGATGGGTGCAAGAGGGTCCGTTCACTCTTCCTTCTAATTTTGTAAATGCTCTAAGTTTCCTATAATAAAAAGTTAAAGAAACATTGCCTCTTAGCACAGGTCTGGTGAGGCCCTGGGCCACATCCTCACGCAGGTGCTCAGGGCCCCGTCCATGCCCCTTTAGCTTTTCCCCGTGTGTGGCGTCTAGGACTCGGCCGCTCCCCTGGCCCGCTCTGCTCCTCAGTACATGCGTGCTGCTTGTTGCGTGTCAGCACGTGGGCACAGCCACGTGTGACTTCCCTTTGTGCTCACAGATGAGGGCAGGGTTCCATGTCCCTTTGAGGGGCATAAGGCCAATAACTCAATAACTCCTGCCCGGAGCCAGGGTCCGGCCTGCTGCAGCCCCCACACCCTCCCACCTTCTTTCCCACCAGCCCATTGTGAGTCCCCCCTCCCCCCGGGGTGTCCTGCGGCCCAGACGGTGCCGTAGCTGGGGACCTGGCGGCTCTGAGTTTGTTCCTAACATGTCCACGTTGCCTTCACAGAAGCATGTTGTGGAGACATTTTTTGGATTTGATGAGGAGTCTGTGGACTCGGAAACCTTGTCGGAGACGTCCTGCAACACAGACAGGACAGACAGGGCCCCGGCCACCCCCGAGGAGGACCTGGACGACGTAAGCGAGCCTCGGGCCAGACACGGGGGTCGTGGCACTTCCGGCCCCTGCTGCCCACTGAGAGCTCTCACCCCAGGGGACCTGGGACAGCACAGCCCATCGGGTCAGGGGAGGTGGTCCCCTTCACGGGCTCTGGACGGCCGGGGGGCACTGGCAGGCGTGGGGTCCCTTTCCCTCCTCCAGCACCGATTTCACAGAGGATCTGAGGTCGCCTGGGGGTGACTTACCCTTTGTGATTGAAATTACTGTGTGGTGGCCTGTCCCTCATTCTGCTACACACACACATATACCTGCACACACACACACAGAGATTCTATACATGCACACACACGCACACATGCACATGCACACACATAGATACCATACATACACACACGTGCACACAGGTGCACACACATGCACACACACACCACACCACCTGGTGGGAGCAGCACGGCTGCCCCTTCCATTATAGAGCAGGCTCCTGTAGGAGAGGCTGCAAACACTGAGGGGGAGGAAGGTGTAAACCCCCGGAAGCCTCCCAGCTGAGGCCCCTCCCCCTTCCTAGGGACCTGGGTCCCCAGGTGTGAGGAGGGGCTTCCTTCTCTCCCCGCCCCCAGCCCCAGCCCAGCTTTCTTAGGAAAACGGAGTAAAATGCGACCATGGCAGGCACGGGCTTTTGATGTCTGTCCTCACCGACAGTAGCAGGTGTCTCAGCACCGAAACCCTGCTCCACACCGTCCTCTCGAGCACGCGGGACTGGGTCCTGTGGGTGCACGTGGGCATTTAACTTGATGGCCCCGTGACGGGCGCGTGCAGACAGCGCGCTGACTGACGCCCTCCCTGCAGGCGCGTGTCCGCACACTCGGTGTCACCTCCTAGAGGAGATCCGGTGTGAGCAGTGCTGTGGGGCGGGCACAGGCACACAGGCCCCCGCGAGTCGGAGCTGGCTCCCAGTCACATGACTCACAGTTCCCAGGGTCGGCTCTGGCGTCGCTCTCAGCGCCGTCCACTCCCGGCTGGGAGGTGCCCCAGGTCATCGTGGGCAGCAGCGGTGGGTGTGGGCCCTGCCCCGGGACGACACCCGGTCACGCTGTCATTGCTTCTCTCCTCGCCTCCAGACGACCACCAGGGAGGAGGCCGACCTGCGGTTCTGCCAGCTGACCAGGGAGTACCAGGCCCTGCAGCGGGCCTACGCCCTCTTGCAGGAGCAGGTGGGGGGCACGCTGGACGCCGAGCGGGAGGCCCGGGTGAGTGCGCGGCCGGGCCGGGAGGGCTGGGCAGGGGCCCCGTGCCCTTCCTCGCGCTGTGGTTCTGTGGCCCTGTTGGGCGGCTTGGAGGGGATTCTGAGGGGTGACGGGGTGGGGGACACATCACAGACTCTCGCGGCGGCAGTGTCCCAGCGTTTGTCCCCCCCCCCCCGGAAACCTGAGGGACTGTCAGGGTGCCCTCAGTCCCTGCCGGCCACCAGGTCCGGGCCACGCCTGCCCTCGTGCTGGGCTGAGCTCTGTCTTCCTATAACGTCTACCTACTGGCCCTTACCCGCCTTCGGGGGTCACACAGACCAGGGGCTGCTTGCCCCTCCTTCTGAGAGCGAGGGGACGGCGGAGAGCACACCCCGGCCAGTCACACCTGGGTGTCCCCGTTCATCCCGCGAGGCAGGTGGCGAGGGAGGCTGCGGGGAGGCCGCTCCTGAGCCACAGACTCCGGCCCGTAACGTGTAGGTCCGACGAGGTCAATGGCTGGGTGTGGTTTGAGCTGAGCCGTGTGGTTTTTATGAGGAATTTTATCTGGTTGCCAACATTGAAAAGTCAAGAGATTTCACACGGACCTCCAGGTGCCCGCTTCTCTCGGGGAGTCAGACCTTCTGCAGCTCCAGGCTTCTGGCTGTACGGGGAGCATGTGGCGTCAGCTGAGTGGCCATTATCCCCGAGATGGACCGTGCACGTCCAGTGTGCCCCAGTCCCCACCACTCCCTGTTACCCCACACTCAGTTCTCAGCCCCTGCCCTGGGCCATCTGATACGCACCAGGCAGGTGTGACAGTGCTCAGTAGTGCTGGTGACTGTGCATGAGCAGCCGCTGAACTTGGCCGGGAGCTGGTGAGAGCCTACCGTGTCTGGCTCTGGGCTTGCTCAGCCCGCGAAGGCGCTGCCTCTCCTCCAGGCCTCCGTGTCCTTGTCTGTAACACCAGGGTCAGACCTGACAGCTCGCAGGCCTGTTGTTCTTCGGACGTTTACATCTGAGGGGAGAGCCTGCAGGCCCCCCGGTGGGCCGCGTCGGAGCGCGTGCTCCTGAACACGGGCCTGTTTCTGAGGCCTGCGCTGCAGCGTGACCCTTCCCGCGACTCGGCCGCCATCGAGGTGACCCGCTCACCTTCTGGCCTTTTCATTCCAGACCCGGGAGCAGCTGCAAGCGGATCTGCTGAGGTGTCAGGCCAAAATCGAGGACTTGGAGAAGCTGCTGGCCGAGAGGGGTCAGGTGAGCACCTCGGCCGTGTGATGTCCCTGGGGCCTGGGGCCGAGGGGGCTCTGCCACCCTGCCGTTCGTTCGCTCCCGAGACATTAGGGGGAAAAGCACTCGCGGAACCCAGGCAAGAACACCCCGCGAGGCGGTCTGCGTGTGGGCCTTTAAAAACTCATAATTCCGAAACTCTAACTTGGCTCACTTTTTGTTCGTTTGCACAAAAATAGGACACAATTCCAAAAGCAAAGTGTGACCAAAATCTTTTTTGACTTGCATCTGAAGAAAAGCTGCCATTGACGCCGAGGATTTAATTGTGAAAATGAGCTGGGCCCGCCACTAGCTGTCAGTCTCGGCAGAGGCCCCGCCCCCGCCCAGGTCTCCTGGCTGTGACTGTCTCATAGAATCTGGCCCTTGTGCTTCTCAGATTAGCGCCACCTCCGTGTATGCGTCCTCTGCACTGGGTCAGGCCTGGTGACAGCAGGACATGGGAGAGGGGCCAAGCCAGACCTGTCCCTTGGGGTGGGGAGCACCCTAACGGCTGGGGAGAAGGGAGCCCAGAGGCACTGGAGCAGAGGAGGGAAGAGGGAGGATCTTCCTGCATTCATTCACCCACCCTCTGTCTTCTCTGAGCACTGGCTGTGTGCCAGGCACCGTGCCGGGCGCTGGGGACACACAGTGACAGGATGGGCTGACCTGGGTGGGACGTGGTCCGGGTGGCACGGCTGGGGGCCTAGAGTGAGCACAGGGTGTCGCTGTCGGGACACCGGCCCGCGGGCTGCAGCGAGCCAGCAGGAGAGGGGGTCTGCGGGCCGGCCTGGTCATGGTCACAGTGCGGCTGTTTCTCTGTTGCTGATACAAACCCCGGTCCCTGTGCTTTTGGGGACATGAGCCGGGGAGCAGGGTTGTTCCGCAAACCAGCCGCTCTCTTTCTGGGGTTAAAGGTGAGGGGCCGGCGAGGTTGCTAGCTGCTGCCCTCTTCCGGCCTTCCCAGGGAAAGCCCCTCCCCCGTGGCCTTCCTCGTGGCCACTGTGGCTGGGCCGTGCGCCGCCTCAGGGAGTGTGACATGCCCAGTGCTTTTCCGCAGGATTCCCAGTGGGTGGAGGAGAAGCAGCTGCTCATGAGAACCAACCAGGAGCTGCAGGAGAAGGTACGTGCGCCAGCGCCGCCCGCGCCAGCCTCCCTGGCAGCACCCCAGGGCCTGCCTTCCTTATGTTCATCAGAGCCCGTTCCTGGGGGCTCCCGGCCCCTGGTCCTGGCTCTGTCCTGGGGAGGGCAGCAGGGCTGACCTGGACCTTCCCCAGGGCACCTGCTGACAAGGTCACGTGTCTGTCCGGATGGGGCTTCCCGAGCCCCTCCCCCTCCCAGGGGCGGGCCTAAGACACTGATCGACTGGCTGTCCTGGCCCGGTTCATGGACTGGAGGCCATGGTGCTGGCAGGGCTGAGCCTGCCTTCCCTCTCAGGTCATGGAACTTTCTGGAACTCTCTCCAGGAGTTGGCTTGGGGAAATAGGTCTCATGCTTTGCGACAGACCTTAGTTTTTCCTAACCTGTGTACAATTCAGTGAGTCGTGCAGCCATCACCACAGTGCAGGTTCAGGCCGTTTCCCGCCCTCCCCCATAAAGAGCCCTCACACCCACTGCAGTCCCTCCCCCCCCACCTCCGGCCCTGGCAGCCACCATGGACTTTCTGACCCTCCAGGTCTGCCTTGCTGCACCTTCCATGCTAGGGGACCAGACCTGGGTAGGCCTGGCCTTAGGCGTCCTAGATGCCAGGGCTGGAGAGGCCTGGCCTGGCCCGGGGGCGGGGCGGGGCCTCGGTGCAGCCCCAGCTCTGCACTGACCCCTTGTGGCCGTTCGCTGCCCTGTGTTACTTCGCACATTTGGGCTGCTGTCCTGTGAGGTGGCCCTGTGCGTTGGGAGAGCGGTTCTGTCCTGCTCCCTCAATTCCAGGAGCCACAGAAAGCTCCTGTACTGTTTCCACATGTCCGCTGGGGCGGGGCCCCCTCTCCCGTCCCCCTGGCGTGAGGTCAGAGTGACCGTGACGGACAAGGTCCTCGGCTCCGTGAGCTTCTCAGTCCTGCAGCCGGGAACTCGGGCGGCTGTTCTCCTTGGAAGCCACTGAGCCCATAGCAGTTAGCAGCTTGGTCAGGGGCTCCGGGGGGGCAGGGGGTGGGAGCTGGAGGACAGCCAGCATGACCTTCTCCAGGGCCTGGGGCCTCCAGCAGGTGCTTCCTCTGTGGCTGTAGACTCGCCCGGATTAGGACATGGACAGGCTTGGGGGTCACTCTCCCTTCCCCACCATCAACCTCAGGGAAGGGACTTCCTCGCTCTGGGCCTCCGTTTCCCCATCATCCATTTATTCAGCGACTAGATGAGGCGGCCCTTCTCTGGGCCAGGCTCAGGGCTGCGGGGCCGACCCGGGTCCCGCACCAGCCCAGCTCCTCGCCGTGGCCCCTTCCCGCCCCGCCCTCCTGGTCAGGGGACACGCCTCTCGTGGCCCCGGGAGGGACAGCGGCGCTGCCCACTGAGCCGCAGCTGTTTCTGCTCTAGGTGTACCGGCTGGAGGTGGAGGAGCGCCAGCTGAAGAGCGACATGCAGGACGCGCGGGACCAGAACGAGCTGCTCGAGTTCAGGGTGCTCGAGCTCGAAGTAAGGGACTCTCTCTGTTGTAAGCTCTCAAACGGCGCAGACATTCTCTTTGAGCCCAAACTGAAATTCCTGTAACGCCCCCGGACGCCCCGAGCATGTGGAAAGGGGACGCGGCCCAGTGGTTTCTTTCTTTTTTCTCTCCCTTTTAAAAACCTGTATGTTCAGAATGATTTCACTGCCTTAATGTTCTGGAGGGAATGCTCGCCGCAGTCCTGGGACCTGTACCAGAGCTCATCTATTTATTGCCTACGGCTTGTTTTGCACTTAATAAAATAATTTGTTTTTGCAATATTTTGCCTTTTTTATTTGTGTTTCATTTCCACGACTTCTTTCCTGCCTGCCGGTCGCCTGGTGCGCATTCTGCAAGCCCGGCCACCGCCCTGTTGTAGGTAGTGACACTTTTAAAGCGGCCGCGCAAGCTGTGCGTGGCGCCTCCCGAAACGGCAGGTTCCGAGCCTCTGTAGTGTGGGTCCTGCTAGCCTGACCCGTTTTCTGTTGGCCAAGGTGAACACAGGTAAGTGAGCCAGGGAAGAGGAGGAACTCGCACAGGCAGTTCAGGATACTCCTCACGTTGCTTCAACTCTTTCCTCCAGTGAGTACAGACCTGGGCATCACAGCTCTGGGCTGAAAAGTCACTCAACTACAGCTGAAAGCCACTCCTTAGCCCAGAGGGTGACTGAACATTGTACACGGTAGACATCGTGGGGTTTTTATTTGTTTGCTTTTAAAATATATTTTTATTAATTTCAGAGAGGAAGGGAGAGGAAGAGAGAGAAACATCAATGATGAGAGAGAATCATGGATCGGCTGCCTCCTGCACGTCCCACACTGGGGATCAAGCCCACAACCCGGGCATGTGCCCTGACCGGGAATGAACCGTGACCTCCTGGTTCATAGGTCGATGCTCAGCCACTGAGCCACGCCGGCCGGGCTAGACATCGTGTTAAACCTTCAGTTGCTCCCCACTGCACAGAGTCGGGCCTCGTGTGACATTGCCGATGGTTTCATGGCTTCCCACGGAAACCTTCCCGTCACTAGCGCCTCGCTGCCACTCACTTCCTAATCCTTCCTGTTTGTTTCCGCTGAACACTCGCCG